GGCTGAGATGGCTTCGAAAATCTTGGAATTCGTTGTGGTGTACATTGTGTGGATTCTGCACAGGGCTCTGCCTTGGAAATGACTCCCAGGCAACCCACAACAACAGGGGGATCCCAATGTCTGCATGAGCCATCTCTAAACGCTCTGAAAAGGCGGTTCTATCTTTTGAATAGAGCTTTGGGGGTATATTGAACCCTAAACCCTAACCTATTTTACTACAATCGGGGACCGTAAGGGATAGGATGGTCTCCAAAAGCTCTAAAGCCTAAGTCCCATGTGCACAAACTCACGGCGTGAACAGCTGATAGCTGCCCATCTCGGAACCCCTCAGACTAAACCCTAAACCCTAAACTTGGCCCTAAACCCTACAAGTTCAAGACGCTTAACCCCGAAACTTCCAGAAATGCACCTTCGATGTCGCACTCGGACACATCAGCGGCCTGCCAGAAACAGACACGGCTTGGGTTTCTGGGCCGGGGCTCTGTGTGGGCTGCAGAGTGCGGGGCTTGGGTCTAGAGCGTCCAGCCCCAAACCCTAAACCCTAAAACACTCATGTAGGGGCCTTAATAATTACCTAAATGATTCTACCTGTATCATTTTGGCGGCTGAAAGTTGAACTGCGTTGCTACAAGAGGCTTGACCTTGCAAGCGCACAAAACCAGCAGAAAGGGGGCTGCAGGCTGTGCAGTCAGCGCCCCTATACTGGCTCCTTATTATACTTATAGTCTAATCTACCCCAAATACCCTCTTCTAACTGTTCAGGCCCCTATATTACGTTGATCAAACCCTTTGGGCGGGATGAAGAGCTTCAGCTTCCGGGTCCAGTGCGTAGGGTTTAGGGTTTAGGGTTTAGGGTTTGGGGTTTGGGGTTTAGGGTTTAGGGTTTAGGGTTTAGGGTTTAGGGTTTAGGGTTTAGGGTGTGCTTGATTCATTTTCAGGCTTTGTGTGCTGATTCCACGCACGCTTGATACCTGTGACAGGGGTGGCAAACCTGGTGTAGAGATCAGGGCTCAAGGTTGAGCAGTAGCTTGGATTCTTAGGGTTTAGGGTTTAGGGTTTAGGGGTTTAGGGTTTAGGGTTTAGGGTTTAGGGCATAGCATTTGCGGGAAACTAAAGACATGGCACGTCAGCTGACTCGACAGCAATAATTGGCGGTATATCGCCATGGTCCAGAATCGGCCTACAAACATCTGAACAGGGCAGCTGGAGCAGGGTGACTTATGATTCTTCTGACGTTCTGGCGTAGAGGTGCTGATGCTTACCTAATATGGCAGCCTTGACAATCAGACTGAAATTTGATGTACAGTTGTACAACTATACATAGGAACAAGGGAACAGTATTCGTTACTCACACCACATTAGGGTTTGGGGCTTCGGGTTTGGTGCTGTTTTGCAGGCCTTTTTCCAGAGGCATCCCTAGAATAGCAGGTTTCGGTAGCGTTTCGGGTTTATGACTAAATCTTCAGACCTCCGTATTATCCGAAAACTGACTGCCCTTGCCTTGAATTCGCCTCAGACCCAGCAACAAGGCTGGAAGTCTAGACCGAAACCCTGATCCCGGAACACCTGTAACTACCCGCCATATTTATAGACCTGAAATACCCAACATTCAGGACCTGAAGGGCTCTATTGAGGGCACCTTTAAAGGTTTAGTATCTAGGGGCTAGTCTAGGGTTTAGGGTTTTTGTTCCTTTTTAAAGGCTCTTTTTTCTGGCTGCACTTCAGAGGGGTTTAGGGTTGAGGGTTGTTTTAGGGGGAGCCTGGTAATCATGCCTAAGCTGAACTCAGGAGTTGGATCTTCGGCCTTCGTCAAGATGCGGAGGTACTGTGCCGTGGCAAGCAGGTTTTCCATTGGTGGCACCTGGGGTTGAGGGGTTTAGGGTTTAGGGTTTAGGGGTTTAGGGGTTTAGGGGTTTGGGGGTTTAGGGGTTTAGGGGTTTAGGGTTTAGGGGTTTCGGGTTTAGGTGGATCGCTTTGGGATGATGCTTGAGCGCTGCCAGTTTAGGATGTAAGCAAAGGGTTAAGGCAGAGTGTGGGCTGCAGCATCCCTACTACACCGTTGGCCCTTTAGCGCCACAGCCTTACACCCCAAACACTAAGTCCCCAACCATAAACCTTATTATTAATAGCCCTTTAGCACAAGGGCTGTAGAATGGTCCATCAGCTCTAAAGTAGGGCCTGTAACAACCAGAAGAGTGTCTCTGCAGTGACGCAGAGTATAATTGCACAGAGACAGACAAGCCTAAGGGGACTTTTCCTAATTACTGAAACTTTCTTTAGAAAATAGGCTTCGAGCTTGTGGGTTGGCAGTTTGGGGCGGGTTCGTGTTCAGGGGTTTAGGGGGCTTAGGGTTTACTGAATCTTGGGGTTTATGGTGTAGGGCTTTCGCGGTTGAAGGTTGATGGTGCAGCGAGGTTGAGACGATACATCACAAAAACTTGGCCAAAACAGCATGTATGCAATTCTTGCAGGGGGTGCTGATGTTTCATTTGCGTCCCCAAATGTTAGGTCATGTTAGGTCTTTGCATGACTTTACATGAGTCTAGGTTCAAGCAACTGCAGCAACAAAAAGAGCTGCAAAAGCTCTTGGGGCATCAGGACAAAAGAAGCAAGCAGGATGAATCTTACCAAATGCGTAAGTTCCAATAGCAAACCCGAAACCCTAAACACCGAAGCCCAAAAACTTACAAAAACCTTAGCCTTAGCAAAACCCCACATAAAACTTTCACAAGAAATCAACTACAAACCCTCTAAACCTCCAAATACCTCAGAGGGGGGTGTTGAGAATTAGAAGGGGGCTTACCGGGTATACTATGCTACCAAAAAACCTAAAGCACCAAGTCCGAATCCTAAACCCCAAACCCGGAACAACATCATGTAGAATAGCGTTTCAAGGGTATATACTATAGTACCCAACACCCATAGCCCTAAATCACAGACCCTAAAACCTAAACCCTAGATCCTAAACCCAACCCTACGCCCGAAACTCTAAATCCTGAACGTTAACTAGACTTTGAAGTAACCGGGGAGAAAAAAGTATGGACTTTTATTTCATATAATGGTTCCCTTAAGGCACAAGTCCCAAAAAAAAGTATTCAAGTACGGTACGCCAGAACCCACTTAAGCCCCTTTCTAGTCCGATGCAGGGAGGCTGCCTTGGACTCCTCCTGCATTGCTGATCCTGGCGATCTCGGGGGCAGAAAAGGATAAAAGGGGCTTCCAAGGGTCTGCACGAGTTTCTACATGGGTTTAGTTTTTCGGGCTTAAGGATAAGGGCTTAGGGTTTAGGGATCAGGGTTTCTACATGGGCGCTGTAGACGGTTTCGCAGGTTTTGTATAGAGTATAGAACTCACTGAGGAGTCTGCTCTGTCAAGGGCTTTTGCCCTGAACCCCTGAAACCCTCAAGCCCGAAGGAAGCCTAAAGATCCCATTCGCCCGCCACCCTGGACCCTGAAACCCCAAACTTAAAACGCCAAAGCCCCCAAAACAGTGTAGGGTTTAGGGTTTAGCTACATTACCCTTGTATGACCCTGAAAAGAAGCTAGGTCCTGTGTCATCCAGCAACAGAGCGGCCGTCTGCATGAAGCGCGTTCGCAACGTAGCGGCCATGGAACGGACGATGGGCCTGGCCCTAAACCCTAAACCCTAGAATGGTTTTCGGTTGAGGGTTCGAGATTAGGGTCTCCAAACGGGCGATGCAAAGGTTCCATCATCAGGGTTCTCTCAGGGTTTAGGGTCGGCTTTGGGTTTAGGGTTTAAGGTTTAGGGTTTATGGTTTAAGGTTTAGGACTTAGAGTTTAGGGTTTAGGGTTTAAGGGCTTTGGGTTTCGGGTTTTTTAGGTTGTGAGGTTAGGCTTCCGAGCTGAGGGTTTGGGATTGAGAGATGAGGGTCTGGACCTTGTTTTTAGGGATGGGGGTTTCAGGGTCGTCCTTTCAGCAACTGCACCATGTCTCTGAGCGCAGCAAGTGTTGCTGACTTGTGAGGACGGCTTACAGGTACATGGCAACAGAGGGGTCTTAATAATCAGAAGAGGGTTTTGGGCCTAAACCCTAAACCCTAAACCCTAAACCCTAAACCCTAAACCCTATTATACTATAACTCCAATAAGAAACCCCCAAACTGCCATAGGTAATTATTAAGGCCCCTATAGTAGCAGGGACAAGCCCTCGACTCGTCCTTCCGACACCCCCCCCCCGTCCTTCCGCCCCCCCCCACCATCAGCAGGGAACCCTAGATGCCATGAGCTGAAAAGCCCACGTTCTGGACTCTAGGGTTTAGGGTTTAGGGCTTTGGGTTTAGGGTTTTGGGTTTTGGATTCAGGGTTGCGGTTTAGGGTTTAGGGTTTAAGCAAAGATCCCGAACTACTGAGAGAAAGTTACTTTCTCTCAACCTCAAACCCAAAGCCCTTACTTTAGGGGCCTTGATAACTAGAATATGGTTTTGGGCTTTGGAGCATATTATACTAGAACTATAGTACGGAACCACCAAAATAGTATAGGTAATTATTTCGGCCCTAGAATAGAATCCTCCACCCCACGCTCAAGCCCTGCACTCCTAGAATCCTCCTAAACCCGAAACCCTAAACCCTGAACCCTAAACCCCTGAACCCTAAACCCTAAACCCTAAACCCCAAAACCCTAAACACCTGCACCCTAAACCCTACACCCTAAACCCCTAAACCCTAAAACCCCACACCCCTAAGCCCGTAGCCTGGCTCCAGGGCACAAGGGGATCAGGTATGACAGCGCAAGGGCGATGTGCTCCGTGGCCTGTCTCGCCACGGGGATCAGAGGCCTTCTGCAGCTCGCCCTACAAATCCTCCAACCCCAAAGCATGACGATTCAGGGTTTGGGGTTTCCTAAACTTAAAAGGTTTAGGGTTTTTTTTTAACGGACCTTTTCTCACCGCAGCAAGAAGTCACAACGACTAGGTCGACCCCTGTGTCAGCATCTCCACCGCGATCCCCGAAACGAACATGTAGTACTCGCAGACGTTCACCCTTCCTTCTCACCACCGGGCTGTACGTTCGCTCCTTGCTCCGCTCCCTTTGCTTCCGCCTGTGCTTCACGGTACTCGTACTCCTTGGCAAGATCGGCCGCGAACGCCTCACACTCTGCTAGCTCAATCAAGTTCACTGTGTCCTCGCCACCATCACATCCCCAAGGGAGCGTCTCCTGATTATCCACGTCGATCCCGGCCGCGCCCGCCACAACGTCGTGAAGGTTCGCCTTCTGCATCAGGTCGCCGGTCCCGTTGACAGCCTGGCGCTGACGGTCACTTCCACCATCCGCCATCACAGGCGCCACGTTCTCCGTAGTGCATTCGGCCGTGTTGCTCTTCTGGGGTTGGGTCGCCGTCTCTCCGCACCGACCTGCACCCGAATGTACTTCACCCTCTCGTGATCCCGGCCTGGTAGGAGGCGTTATAAATGTGACAAGTAGTCCACAGGATGTGCTTCCGTGCCGTCGCCCCACTGTTCGGCGGAAGAGCCGTCAGCGGGCTGTTTAACAATCGTCCCGACTATCGGAAAGAAATTGGGTTCGGTGCCTGCCGAGTTGATTTCGTCATCACCGGTCGCCTTCTGAGCTCCGTCGTCGTTCTCGACAAATGTCCTGAGCTCTGCGTAAGAAACAGCCTCAAGGTCATCGGCGTTCTTGATGGAACGCTCCTTCATCACCCTGGCTGCGGCGATCCCAATGCACCTTTCCATACTGTTCTTGTTGGTCGTAATTGGCTGCCCCGATGTGGTTATACCGAATCTGCACGATTCGTACAACTGCGAACCTGTGCAGGCGACTACCGAAGAACAGCAGTATCAGCTGATTAGGATCTGCGTTCTGTGGACAGGGCAGTCTGCTCGCTGAAGTCGTACTCCCCAGGCGGACCAGAAAGATGCCGCAGAGACACTGAGTTCCCAGCCTGAGGCGTCGCTGAAATACACCTTACTCTCGGGAGACTTCTCCAAGAGATACTCAATATCTCTGTAGGTGCGCTCAAGCGACCCATCATCGTGTCCAGTTCCGACAGCCAACGGAAACGCGTTGCCCATCTCTGCATCCTGGTGTACGAGCACGTCACCGTGGTCAGACTCCGTGTGTAACACACATGCTAACAGTCTGTCTGGCTCGGAAATGTTCCATATGAGCCTCCACGTCTCTTGTTCCGCCTTGCGCTCGCTGTGTCCCTCTGACTTTATGAAAGTGCAGGTGGGATCTATGAGCCCATAGCGGACCATGAGAATGGGGTTAAGCTTGCGCAGCTTAGACGCCCACGCGCAGCGCAACAGCATTCTCACTTTGCAGATGGTGATGAGCTTAGCTACCTTTTCAGGGTCTTTCCGAAGATTGTCCCGGGATCCGGGGGACCAGTGTGCGGTCCAGCCCACAGCCTTATCCTCCGCGGCCGTCAGGTGATGTACTAACATCGACTTGACGGTTTTGGTAGCCCCGGACCAAGGAGCTCTCGGCATTTCGTTTGCCAACTTATCAGCGACCGTCTTGAGCAGAAAGCGCGCCTTAGGCCGTGGTTCTGGAGAAACCTGTTTCGCTGACTGCTTCCTCAAGGAAGCAATTTGAGCTCTCTCAGATGTTGGAGGCTCGACGAACCTAAGGCTTTCTCCCAGTGCCTTAGCGATTTCGGGAGTCGTCTTGTTCATGACCTTGGAGACGGCATTGTGGTATCGTCGGGAAGTCTTAGTTGGCTGATCAGTCGCGCCTGCTTTGAGCAGCGAGTCAGCAGTTCCGACGTTGTGGAATACTGGAGTACCATCGGCAACCATGGAAAGCCCCCTCGGGCTCAAAGTACTTGATGCCGCCGCACTGACGGTACTCTTCATAAACTGTCCACTGGGGCAACCCAGTGACAGCCTGAAGTGGCATGTTAACCAGGAGTTCCGGGTCAGCAAAAGTGCCGTCATCAGACATGAACGAGCAACGGCGTCAGCCATCGCTTCCTTCTGAGAGTACTTGCCGTTGGAATCCAAGTTGACGAGCAACATGCTGTGGCACCGCACGTTCTCAGCTGGCGTTCGAATGTTATCCCTATAAATAGGTTTGGCACTCTTTTGATTTCCGGCAGCTTCAGTTCCACCCACACTATCCTGGACTTGATCACTCACTGGAGTGAACACAACTTTGTCCATCGGCTCCAACACGTACACTGGAGATTGCTGATGACCTCCAGGTGGACCGATGGTGTGCTTGATGTGAAGCCTGCCGTCTGTAGAGGGGTGGCCCTCCGACCAATTCACCAAGAAGGTGTGGGGACGGCCATCTTTGTCCACTTCCATGAAGTGACTTTGGTGGAAGTTCCACCTGACCTTTTCGGCTATGTAGCGACTCAACGGGTTCCACAGCCGCTCACCCTCCTCGGTTTCTGTGTCGAAGAAAAGACTGACCTCTGACAGGTTGACGTCTCCGCCCTTGGACACGTTGAGGTTGAACAAATTTTCCTTCACGGCGGGAAGGCTGTCGCCGCACAACCAGCGAGCTCCGTTTGGGATCAGAGCCTGGATGGATGCTTGCCTTGCCTGAAGGTCTTCTGGCCGAGTTGCAACAACCCATGGGTCATTGGCGTAGTCAATTGGCTCAACCTTTCTCGCCCCCTCGGACGTGGATTTCGTGAGCTTGAAATCCAACCCTGCCTCCTCGACAGCATCTATGAAGATGGCTTCGATGACAACTCCATGATACTTTTCATCATGGCTCCTGGCCCACGGATCGGGCGTGTCGTCATCGTCGTCGTCATCGTAGTCATCCCAGAACTTGCCGTTCCTTGGCTGCCATTCCTCGATGGCGGCGGGACGGCTCGTGGATTCTACGATCTCGACGAAGTTGTCGAGAATAAAGTGTTGCTCTTCGCGGAGCTGATCCAGCTCGCTTGCATCACTGGCTTCACCATGTGCCATGAGCCAATCAATGCGCTCTTGAAGCTCCATAGTTCGACCATACACCGCGTCTACTTTGGACCGACGTCGTGGGTCTTCTGATAAACTGGAGTCTGCTTGCTTCAACTTGTTGTACATTGCTGAGCTGAGACGAGTTGCGTTGCGGGCACCTCTCACCTTGGTGAACTTTTGGGCCTTCCGCTGTCGTTTCTGTGACATGGAGGTCTTCTGTGCCTTCCCTCGTCCAGTCTTGAATGACTTCTTGCGCATCTGCGAGCGCACGGACCGTTCGTTGAGATGGTTCTCGTAGGCCTCGATGGCCCCAGACTCTCTCAGTACGAGGTCCACAGCACCAGTAAACGGGCAGTTCAATTCACCGCCCCCCACCATTAGGCGTTGGATCATGGGTGCTGACACGGCAATATTATAAGGAATCTTGCCGGGTGTCGCTGCGATGTGCAGTCCAACAATTGCTGGTACGTCGCCGGGCACCCCTCTAAAGACCGGAGAACCGCTCCAGCCTGGGACGGTGTCCACTGTGTGGAACCAGGTTCCAGTGATGGAACCGTACCCGCTTGGGCTGACCATGGATCCCGTGTTGGGTACCAATGGCCTCCACGGACCGGGTGCAAATGGGTCTGGGCCCAATGAGTAGACTTCAGACGCGATGCCTGTGTCTACTTTGCCGCTGTAGGTCTTGACACTGGCGCGTGCGAACATAATCTCCGGGATACTTACCAGAGCTATGTCGTACCCAGTGCGTGACCGGCATCCCTCACAGTGCAAAATGCGCACTGTACAGCGGTCTGGTTCGAGATACTGTTTCTGGCATTTCTCCAACTGCAGCTGGTATTCAGCCACAGAAGTGATCCAGAAAGAGGAGCACCCCTCAAGCACGTGGAAAGCCGTCAGCAACTCATGCGAACTGACTCTGACGCCCATAGCCACAGGTTGATCTCCTTGGCCAAGTACACAAAGGAAACCGTACGCTGTGATGTCAAAGTCGTACCTCTTGTTGATGGCAGAAAGGTCGAAATTCAACTGTTTCTCGTTGAGGCCACTGGATGTGACGGGCTCAAGAAAATCCCACTTGGTGGCGCCCTTGTCGGAGTTGTTTGGCTTAACAAACCACGGAGGCATGTTATGCTCAATGTACATGATGTACTGTCCCGTTGCAGGGTCTCCAATCGGCCTGCCCAAAGGTGGGAGTGCGCGTTGATACTTCACCGTTTCAATCTTGGCCCGTCGGTTTTCGACGTAGGCCTTAGCCGTTTTCCTGAAAAGAAAGACTGCTCCGCAGCAGAGGACAACTTTGTCCGGTACGCAAGGCTCGACTGTTTGCCGTTCAAGACGCCTTGTTTCTATCTTCTCAGAGATTCGGGCTTTAATCCTTCCAAGCCCCATGCCAATGAGATTGCATGCGTGCAGCGTGGCAAAGCACAAAGAACAGTCCGTTGCGATGCCAGTAGGTGTTTGAACCGACTGGTACACAAAATGGACCACGCTTGCGCCCACTGCAAGAGATGACCAAACAACCATGGTTGCCAGTCAAAGAGAGTGGAAGAGTTGAGCGATAAAGCTTTGGTGTAACTAATACTCCAAGAGTTACCAAGGAGTGGGCCGTTTAGGGTTTAGGGTTTAGTGGTTAGGATTTAGGGTTTTGGGTTTCCTAAACTTAAAAAAGGAGAAACCCAGCATCCTCGAGTTTAGTTGCACCCCTCCTTTACTCCTACCGCCCTGCGACAGCCTAGATGCAGGCCTCCCCCGAGCAAAACACCAATGTAAGACCCCAACCCGAAGCCAAGCTCCCTAAACCCGAAGCCCTAAGCCCTAGACCCTAAACCCTAAGCCCTAAGCCCAAAAAGCCTGAGGCTTAAAGCCCAAAGCCAAGTTTCGGGTTTAGGGATTTAGGGGTTTACGGTTTTAGGTTTGGGGATTTCGGGATTTGGGAAGACTATGTCTCAGACCCCTCAACCCCAATATCCCAAGCCCTGAACCCTAAATCCCTGCATGCCAAGCATGTCGAAGCTGTCCCAAACCCAAGCAGCACTGCGCCTAAAGTCTACTAAGAAGTACTCCTTAAGTCATCCGAATCAGCAAATCGTATAAACCCTAAACATCCACGCTCTATTATTCTGCAATTCTGCGATATTGCGCTCTGGGAACCCTGCACGAGCCTTAACAACTAGAACAGGGTTTTGGGGCACACAGTAGTATAACTCTATAACGAGGAAACCTCTAGTACAAGCGATGATGCAGGCTTCTATATTACGCCTTACCTGCACCCTGAATCTGAATCCTAAACCCTACCTCCTAGATCCTAAACCCCACGCACAAAACCTGCCACTAAGCCCTTACGCCCTAAACCCTAAACTGTGTTTAGGGTTTAGGGTTCTAGGGTTTCTCCCTACACCCAAAAACTTTCTGTTGCGCCTCCGGGTCGGTTTGCCGCAAGTAGGCAGCCTGGTCACTGCATTGCTCGGCCAAAGAAAGATCCCAGGGACTCCCTAAATCCCTTGAAAAGCACGGACTTAGGGATTAAGATTTAGACTTTAGGTTCAGGGTGTAGGGTTAGGGATTAGGGTTCAGGATTTAAGCTTTAGGCTTAGGGTGTAGGGTCTAGGGCAAGTTTAGGGTGTAGGGTTTGGGGTTTAAGCCCCGAACCCTAAACTCTAGACCCTAAACCCTGACCCTTCTCTTTCAGGGATAGGGTTTAAAGATTAAGCTTTGGGGTGTGGGTTTAGGGTCTAGGGTGACAATCAAGGGGCCCACTTATCAACCCCCGCTTA